TCAGTACGGCTCGACGTCTGATTGGCAGACTGCTACTTACGTGGGAATCTGACGTGTCCAGAGTGTGAAGCCGTTGGCATCAAAAGCCGCCAACTCGTTGCAGATGGATGCCACATGGTAGATCAATCTGAGATCCTCGACGGACAAGTACTGGGGGTTAGGTGCCGGGTAGATGTTGAGAGAGGGGAACGGGAAGATTCCCGTCTGCTGCCACTGCGAGATTTCTGCCTCGACCTCAGGAGTCCACATGAGGTCGGCCTTGTCCGGCGTCGTTGATCTGTCCTCTGGGACGGGCATATCGTTGTAAGGGCAGCGAATCTTGTGCTTGGTGCAGTTGCGGCTGGCTGTGTCAGTTGGTGGATCGAGAACGAAGCAAGAGGTACACACCATTGGGGAAAGTTCTCGTCGCATCTGATGTGACGGCGCTTGCAGGTCTCACAACCCTTGCGGGACTTGGTGTGACTGCGGCGGGGAGGACCACCACCAGGACCGGCCATTGTAAGCGTGGGATGAACTAAACGAAAGAACTAGACATGTCAGTATTGAGCGCGAGACAGAGACAGGCAAGACGCACATCGGAAGTACACACGGAAAGAAGGCCGTGTGTGGAAAGCGAGTGGAGTATCGTTACTGAGAAAGCAGCGCGAGGCTTAATCCCAAGACTTGACTTCAATACTGCAGAAGGTCGTCGATAGACTGGGGCAGGCGACGCGAGGGAGCAAATGGTTCCTTGGATGTGCAAGCGATCGGGAGAAGGTTGGTCAGGCGCTTGGTGCGAGGTGACAACAAGAAAGTTGTTAAAGAAGGCCGCTGTGCTCGGTAATCGATTTGGCGGATTCCTCTCACGTCTCTTTCTGTCCCTGGTTTCCTTGCTTTTCTCTTCTTCTTTTCCCAGTTCCTAATACTAATAGCGATCGTGGGTGGGCGATGGGTTCTGCGTTTCTCAAATTCCTTCGTATCTCTCTTGTCATCTGTTCCCGAAAAAGCGAGTGTGGTTGATCAGAAGACCGGTTTTCAATGATGAAGCATTTGCTGGTTGTAGGCCGGCTTATGGGAGAGGCGGGGTTGTAAGCTAGCCTGTCCGAAAGGTTGTTGAGGCTGGAGACCAGGGTATTTGGCGATAGATGCTTCGAAACTGCCGGGGTGGACTGGGCGCGGTTTGGGAGGGGGTTCCAGTTCTCTTTTCCAGTTTTGTTTTTCCCTTTTCTGGTCCTGCTGGGAAAACAAGAGGGCGGGAGGAGGTTGGCTTCGAGGAGGGTGGTTTTGAGATTTTGGTGGAAGAAGGAAAAACACAAGAACGCAAAAGCGAATGACAGGAGTCAACGAGGACTTCCTAAGAGTAGAGTTAGGAAAAAGCGAATGTGATTGAGGACAGCGCGAGCAGCTCAACGAGGCTGATGAGGTTTGATGTTTGATGTAGTCTGAGGGGAGGGGAGACGGGCAAAGGCGGCGGCAGATGAGCTGGGGGATAGATACAGTTAAATAATGGCACCCTCACGGCCCAAGAGGAGAGACAGTGGCCGCAGCAGGCACAGCACAAGAGCACACACACACATGGAAACACACCACTCACACACAGGCTCTCAGGAAGAGGGCGGCACACACGGTTGAGAAGTGCCACACCAGCTTCGGCCTAATCGGGCAAGGCATGACAACCGGGTGGAAATATCGGTGTACGGCCTGTGAGCAATGGCAGAGGAAAAGCAAAGAGAAAAACAGCTGTGCTGTGCAGGTTGCTGCAGCCGTGCTCCTCCATCTGGCGAGGGTGTGCGCGTGTGTGGATGTGGATGAGATGTCCAGGTGCGCAGACCCCAGGCGTAGGTGCGGGTGCAAGGTGCAGGGCTATGTAAGGAGAGAGAAAGAGAGAGAGAGAGACTGGATGGGACAGGGACATGTGTGGACTGTGGAGGGGAGGGGCCGTCCGTGCTGGGATCGTTGCTGGGACTAGGCAAGGTGTGAAATCCGTACATACCGGGTCATTAACTCTCTCGCAACGGTGGGCGGGATGTATCTATGTATTTGTGTGTGTCTTCGTGTGCATACACTATGTCGTTGCTCGCCAACTGCGGATGCCTCTCCAAAGGTGATAAGAGGCCGAGTGAGTACCTCAGCAATGACGGATCCAGAAGGTTGTCGGGTCCAAACGAAACAGGGTTCTCGCGGATTCCGACAGATTTGTCCGCGGCTGGGGTTGAGCCTGTTGAATAGAGAGGCTTGGAGTGTGTCGGTGAGGATTAGTGTGTCGCGGAGCTTATTCTTCTTTCTTCGCTCTGTACCGTTGTCGTCTGTAGGGGGGGCAGGAGTGAATCGTGATGCCTGTTAAGATGGGCAGGAAGGAGATGGGACTCTAAGATGGGAAGGGGGATAAGAGCAGGGATCCTGGCTTTGGTCAATCCAAGAAGTGAGGTGAGGGATGGTAAGGGTTGGCTGTGTGTCCGTACAGAAGGTAACGCAGGCGCGTGCGTGTACTTTAATGCATGTGGAGACTGGGGGGAGACGAGAGAATGAGAATGGGAGGTGGAAGGAGTAATTATTTTCATCGAGGAGCTGGCAAGGCGGAAGAAGATACATGCTAGAGGAATGGGGGTTGAATAAGATTGAGAGAAGAGAGAAAGGGTCGTTGTCGACGCCGTCGGCACGGGTGGATAGGTACTTACTCAGGTACTCGAAGGCATGTCTGATGAGCTTGATATCAACGGCCATCATTATGTCTCGTTGTTCGGGCGTGTATTGACACGAGATCCGAACAGCTCGCTCCAGTCTCCGGTAGTCGTAGGCTGGGATTTGCTTAGACGAGCAAGACGAGCAGAGACTCTGCGCTATTCCGCGCCTACCGTGTCTATCAAGGTCGGTATCTGTCAAAGACGGCCGTAGTAGGGTCGTAGTGTCGAGTGTAAAGACATGACTACGCCCAAAATGTCAATCTTGTGCAGTACCGATACCGGGCAGTGTGCTATTTGTCCACCGCACCGCCAAACTCCCCGTTCACCCGCCAAAAGTCGAACCAAGAGAGCCAAAATTAAAAATAACCCCGGGCCCCTCCTCCCGTGGGTGAGCCGGCTTCTTGGGCCCCAACCAAAGGCGGCGGCGATTCTCACTGGCAAAAACTAAGGCAGAGAGGGAGCGAGAGACCGGGGCCGGGGCAATAGAGCCACCACTCATTGGGGGCCGCCGGTGGGAGTGACCTAGAAGTGAAAACAGGCGGTGGGGTCGAGACGGGAGGGTGAGCGAGAGAAGGAGGGGGGGTAAGAGAAGAAATGAATAGGTAAGTAGGTAATTGAGTATGAGTGACACTGTGAGAGGGCGAAAGAACTTTCTTTGGCCCTCACCTGGCCCTCTCCTCACGAGACTTTCTCTCCCCACGCCGCGGGCTGATGAATCTAGTCCGCAACGGGCTGAACAGCTGTGGGAATCGCCGTCTCTCATGCTAACGTCGTGCCCATGCCGAATTTCCACCTCCTTTCGCACTCCCCCCTCCATAGCCAGCCGGCCACTGGGAGACGGCCCTTGGGTTTGCTGCGCCTCATGCTTTGCTTCGCTTTTTGCTTTCACGTCCCACCTGAGTTCGCCGGAAGAGAGACATCCTCTCCAGCGCTAGATAAGCCGCACCATCTCCATCTGGCGACTTTCTAGCGCGTTCCTCTGCTATGCCCTTCCCAGTTAGCCATCCGCTGTGTGTGGCTGGTTTCTCCTCGGGCGCTGGCACAGGGCGCCGTTGCCTCTGTTACCCTCGCCTTCCTGGCGCCCTCGCAGCAGCTGCTGTTGGTGATTCTGCCGCTGGTCTCGCGGCTGCGTTTGCTGCTTGTCTCCTTCAGGGATGGCTTCATTACCTTTGCTGTACCCGCTACCGGCCCATCATGGCATCACTGCATCGCGCCGCTGATGCCATGCCATGCCATAGTGTTCCATTACCGCTCCGTACAACCTCTTTCGATGCTCGCTTGAACGAACCTCGCGACCACCGGCCGAGAAGCTGAATGAGCTTCAAAGGTCAGAGAATAGGGGCAGGGGCCAATCTTGTCCCGATCCAGTCCAATGACACGTTGTGGGCAAGGTGTCGGCAGGGAGCCAGTCAACACGATGGAGGCGAAGCAATCGCCAGTCAGCGAGTATTGCATCGCTGCTCGTCTGTGCCAGCGTCTGTGCCGGTGACTCTTTGCGACGCTGCCGAGCCAGCCAAGGGCAACGTCCCCAGTCCATCCATCCCATCTCCCCTTTCGGTCTCTCGCCCTCCCTCGCCGGTCATGCTCATGCAAACATGCTCGTGCAACGCGTCCACTCAGCCGATGACAGAGCACCGCTCGCTGTCCAGTCTCGGACAGCCACTTGGCTCAGCTTCATGCGAGTTTGGCTCTGTGCCCTCCCTTTCTCGGGAGACCCTTCAGCAGGAAATCTAGGCAATGTCAATGTTGGAGCAGGAGCCAAAGCATCCTGTCAGACCGAAGCTCGGGCGGCAAGCAGTATCCGCTGCTTTTTTCGTCCGTCCCAACTATAGACTCTGAGATGAAGGCGAACACAGATGAATTAAGGGGCATACAGACTCCGCGGCCCCGGACAACATCTCCATAGCCGCCAGAAGCTTCATGTTTGGGTCTTGCGGATGGAAATTTCTCCGTGGGCCCCTCCTTAATGGGCCTCTCTGTCAAGATGTGACCAAGGTCATCTCCTGGCTCGGTTGACCACCGTCGCCCGGCTGGCCACCTCAGGTGGCTTAGGTAATAGCGTCGACAACTGGGTTGCGGGACCTTTAGTATGTGAATAGCAGGAGGCGACCATGAGTTGAGCACCGCCCAGAGTAACAATCCACTACCCTCGGCATTCGCCATTTGAACCTGCGTGGTCTGCGTCCGACTAGTCTCCCCCAGGGCTGAGAACCTGAGAGGGTGCTCTTCAAGATGCATCCAGTCAGAGCCCGACAAGGAGGCCAACATCGTCATGTGGACTTGCTCACCTTTTTCTTTTTTCTTTGCCCCGGCCTGCTTCTCTGCTGGTGTGGTGACATGCAGTACCGTCCGTCGCCAGTGTCAGAACCCATGGCCGCAGTGAAAGCGGTTCTCTCCGCGTGTATCCGTACGCCCACAGCGAGTGGCTCTCTCCATTCCTAACGACACCCGACGCCCATTCTCTTGTACCTACCGCCTGCCCTATGACCCCAATCGAGCGGCCCTAGCACTGGGGTCCAACAAATAGCCTCTGCGGGCATGGGTATGTTGCTGGTGGCGTGCGGCATGCCTCCATAATATGTCTGCATCGCCAATGTTCGTACAATTCCTTCTGCTTCGCTCTTGCGTGGTTGTTCAGAGTTCGATCCCACGAGAACAGAAGCTTCCGTGTCCCGAAGTTGCACACGCAATCGTCCCAAGTCTGATGACGAGTGCTTCTCTGCTATCGTGGTCTCGACATCTCTGGAAGCTGACATTGCCGCGGCGAGAACTTTCCAAAAAGCAGGAGAGTTCGACTCCCGTCATGCCACAAGCTTGGAGGGTAAGAAGCTCGAACTCTCAGCTGGTGCCCCGCCCCGGTCCTTGTCCACTAATGAAGAGAGAGTGTCCTTTCCCATCCCGACCGGAAGTGGAAGGACCCTGTTCCCATTCCTAGTCCACTAGAACGACCGGCGAACTTTATGCGGCAATGGATCATGGGCATCCGTGCGTACTTCCCTCTAGGGCTCCCCATCACCCAGGCGGACCTTGCCCCGTGGTATACTATGCCGAAAGAAGCGCCAGCGTGACGCGGCGACAACGAGAATGAAGGCGCCCAGAGTACCAACGAGCGGCCAAGCTGGTGAACAGTCCTGAAGAGAACAGCCGAGGAACATCTGGCGATGTGAGAGCTCTCCTGGCCCAAGCTACAGCTCTCCGCGACGCTAGAAACGGTCAAGGAATAGCCAGGTTACATCAGCCAGAGAGACCTGACGGTCATTCAAGACATGGTTTCAAGCGTGTGCCGTCGCGTCCGAGCTTTCGAACCACAGCACTCACACAAGTTCCCTACCAGGACCTGGGTCGATGCCGAGGCAGGGGGTTGATTGACAAACTCCAGCCATACCCGCCATCCTCCATGGCATGGTATGGATCTAGGTAGTAGGAAATGCTGCCGCTGCCAAAATAAACCATCAAAAGTGCTTGGTAGTTTGTGCTTTTCTGGTGAAGCAAGTAAGCAATGACACGGCGTCCAACCATCTCGGTGCGACGTTTGGGGGCCTGTGATCTCTGCCTTGTGTTATTTCTCCGACTCGCGTCAACGTCGATCCCTTGAGGTTGTCCCCTGTCTATGATCAAAGTCCCTGCCGAGTCTGAGAAACAATTCATGATCCCATTTTCGTCTCCGGAGGCTGACAGCCTGTCCCTCGTCAGTGTTCCGATGCACTTCAGACGAGTGCCGGAGCCAACCAAATGTCAAATCATGAAGGCGACTCGGGCAGATCTTGGGACTAAGGTTTGAGGTTATTGCTGTTAGGTCATACCCGCAGGAACTCTCCGCCCAAGACCCTTCGGCCAAAGGCTTGGAGAAGAGCAAGGAAGAAGGGGGGGCATAAAAAGGAAGAAAAAAAATTGGGTGAATGGACCAAAAAAAAAAAAAAAAAAAAAGAGTACACCACGATCGTTTCCCCGCTCTGCTTTGGCGTCCAGCTTCACCAAGGTGGGTTCGCTAGCGCAGCTTTGCCTTATTGCTTGGTATCAAAATCCGTAGGCGGGTGCGTCGCCCAGCGAGTCATAGTGAGAAGTCGGTGGAGAAGACTAATTCAAAGACAAAAAAACGTTAATTCGATTCACCCCACCCCAGCAAGAACAAGACGTGATATTTTGAAGCTCCGTCTCAAGTAGAACGAATCTTGTTGGGGGATCTCTGTCTCCCGAGCCTCGAGGCTTAGTCGCATTTCCTCCGAAGCCTTTACTGCTCCGCCGCGCTGGGGTTGGGCGCGGGTCGCTTCTTTCCAGGATCTCCATCTCTGCTCTTGGCTCTTGTCGTTGTTTGAACATGCCTGTACCAATCTGCAAGGGGCTGGGAGATCGGAGTTGCAGGGCGTTTTTCTGGTTCTGGTTGGCTGAAACAGCAGTTTCTCGTGTCCATTTTTGGCGTGCCCTGCCAGGGTATCTTACCCATGCTCTGCTTTTCCAGCCCTGGAATGAGAAACATGAAGGGGGGGGCTCGTCAGAGGCAGCTTTCCCGAATAGTCAACGAGATCTTAGATAGCCGTCGCAAACCACGAGGCAGCTGGTGTCACCGCTTAGCGCAGCTAGCAACGAATCATCAACCTGTCTGTCCCGGCCGTCGGGGGTGTGACGCTCATGTGGTGGCGGTGGCTGTTATCAATGTCCAGCAAGTCAGCTTCCACACAGGCCGACGAGAGCGAGCGAGCGCGCGCGCGCGCGTCAAGAGCCGTCCGTCTCTGGCCGGGTCCGCGTGAGGTCCGCTTCTTTGTGCCTGACCGCCCCGTGTGGCTCTCCTGCCAACCCTGTCAAACTGCCAGGGATGCCCTTTCATGACACAGGACACACCAGGACCGGCACACCAAACATTGATATGGAGTCTGCCATTCGTTGGCCAGCAGCGGTGTGAAGCAGTAGCAGCGAGATAATCTTCCGAAGAGACATCACGAGTGGGTTGGGCCTTGCTGGGCGGGATGTTGGACTCTTGGAGATGGGGGCGCTCGCTCCTGGGGTCCAAGAAACCGAGGCAAACGGGAGGGAGCTTGGTCAGAAGGCGGTCGGACGGCGATCGGAGGGCGGCCGCCGGACGTGATCTCCCGACCATCCGAAGTCTCGGTGCAGGAATGCAGGAACGAGAAGCACACGAGGCCTCAGAGGTCGGTGGTGCAGGAGATTCGAAAGAAACCTGCATCATTTTGACATCAACATACGCTTCTCGGCCCGTCTGCGTAATTCGGTCCATACGGTGATGTGAGCGTTAGCGAGCCTCTGACAACAAAAGCACCACATCATGGCACTTTTTTCCCTCCCAGTCGACGGCCGAAGTCACTGTGTGTCTCAGTCGATTGGCCGGCGAATAACGACCAACGGCCTGAGGCTCCGAGATGGTGCCCTCATCCCAATATCCATGCAGAAGCATGGTTGAGGGCGTCTGGATTTTGCCGTATCCGGAAAGGCGGGTTTCTATTCTTAAATAACCTTCTTTCACTGCTGTCTGCGAGATTTCGGTCATATTCGCACCGCGCGCACTTTTGCTTTGGAGAGACGTCTCAGGGTCCTTTGGGCAACGGCATTTGCTGCTCTGGAGCCACAAAATTCTTTTTTTCCTCCTCTGTCTTCGCCATATGCGGCAACGTCAGCAATATCATGCGTGTGCGTCGTCGACTAGTGCTGAGAGACGCAACGTTCCATAGCACGCCGGCGGTCTGTCGATGATGCGTAGCATTGGAATGTCACCTCACTCGTCAAGTCGCCGACAGGCAGCGACTTGAAGCACGCCGTTCGCTCCGTCTCCGGTAGACTCGTTGGTGATCGACATCCGCCGTCGCGTTTGATTTAGGCGCAAAGACGATCTCACGCTCGGGACGAGTCAAAGTCTCAATCAGAGAAGCCTCTAGGGGGGATATGTTGGGTTCGAAATCGGCCCTGCAGATAGCTAGCTGATCTGACGTGTCTCCACTGCCGCCGTCACGGCGAGATGGTGGAATTTCTTCCAGCGCGCGGGCACAGCGCGGGCTGATCGCTGTGATGGTGAAAACATTGTGGCCACCAGCTGCCATTGGTTCTGCGGCCGACAGGGCAAAGGAGAACCCTGTGCGCATCACTGACCCGCATATGTGAGTTGGACGTTGTGCGAGCCGCGACGGCCGAGCGCGGTGAGCAGACGATGCATGGGGTGTCCCGGAAGCCTCGACGCTAGGCGAAGAGATCTGCCTCTCCAACACTGATATTCGTGCGATGGAGCCCACAGAAAGGAGTGTTTTTGTTTTTTTTTACACGCATACACACAAAGTTGCCCGGTATATTTTTGCAGCCTTTGAGAATCCACGAGTCCGGCTGCCCGGTGAGACCGTGAGGCTCCCTCAAGATCTGTGGATAGTCAGTCCAGCTGTGAGTTCGCCACGGAGCTAGCGGAGTTTCGGGGCTAGCTTTCTGTCCACCCCGACCCGCCATGTTTGTCAAGCGCTACCTGATCTTCTGGTAGCGGAAGACTCCTCAAACCAAGCAAGGCTTGGTGTCCATAGACCCGATGGGCGGGAGGCGGTGAAAAGGGCAAACTGCCGAGCTAGTGGCCGACTGCAGAAAGCAGTTGCCATCCGAGCAGCGGTTAAGTCGGTGGGTATACATTGATCAGCCACAGAGGCAGAGACAGAGGCAGAGATGCAGCGACACAGAGACACAGAGACGCAGAGACGCATGCAAGCGATGCCAATCAGCAGAGTGGATGGCGGTGATATGTTGATATGGCGCATGACCTCAAGTATCCTGGGCCTTTATTCGACAATGGGCTTGGCCAGGGTCTCCAAGCTTTGCTTCACGTCGAGAACTCTTCGGTGCGGAGAAGATGCGACTCTGCCATGGACTTTTGCTGATGAAGGTAGTTTATCCGCTGCGAGTCCGAGCCGGGGACAGGCATGGGCGACTCGCGAGCATGATGGCCACGGGCTCGGGGGGTTTAGACGGGCAGCCATGCTGCCAGATGCCAATCTATATAGCGTCTCGTCGGCCGAGTCATTAGCAGATTTTGCTTTGCCGATGATCTTTTTCGCCGGCCAGGTTTAAAATCTCCAAGGGGTCCGTTGCTGTCCAACAGGGGGGGGGGGGGCTTGGAGACGAGGGTGATGATGACTGATCAGAGCATGGGATGTCGATTCGATGGGGCTGGGAGTGTCTGTAGGTCCAAGACGAAAGCGTGAGGATAGACGATACGCACTCTGTCGGCAGCGAGACGGAGAATGTCATATGAGTAATTCGCTCAAGCTGCTCCGTCCGTCTCCGTCGTGGACGACAGCGGCCAGTCTCGTTTAATGGTCGTTAATTGCTGTAAAATTGTTGGCATTTCTACTGGGCTTCTGGAAAATGGGCAGGGCCACCCTTCCCCACCATGTCTTGGACGGCATACCGGGCACATTCGGCAGGGGAAGCGTCGGAGTTCCACCGCTTAGCGGAGCAGAGGAACGTCGAGGGAGGCCAATGACCGGGGGGGCGTATGAGCACTATGAATGGTTGGAATCTGATAGGGGTTTGCATGGAGGGAGGGGTGTGTAGGTGTGTGTGGAAGCTTGGTGATTGTGATGGGTTTGAGTGCCAAACATGGTTGGCTGGTTGTTGGCAAAAATGGATAGACTGACGCTTAGGGGAAGTATAGTACAATGTGGAAGTCTATGTCGTCGGTATGGAGTACTGGACCAGCAACAGAGCGAGCCTGAACGACGACAAACCTTGTCTTGAAGGCGGATGATGTGCATGTTGACAGGATCATGTCCAACTGCGCGGTGCCAGACGGGCCACTCTGGTGCGGCGTTGTGGATTTGTCACCTCAACATTTGAGATATCCATGGAGAGAACTGAAGCGAGAAGTCGTCGTCTCATGTCGTCCAATCGGCCGCTAGCGTGGGTTCGGTTCAAGTGCAGCGAGGCCGAGAAACGCAAAAGTTCATGACCCGACTCGTTCTGGATAATGAGGTAGAGGAGATTGAGAGAGAGGCAGAAGGCATCGAGTGGTTTGCCCGGTCAGATTAGGTAAGAATTGCTTGGAACATGGCCCCATGATGACGTCTTTCCTCCTTCTTGGGCTGAGGCGACAAGCACTTGGGGAATCCAGGACTTTTGTGTCTGTGGATGCTAGCAGCTAGCCATCGGGGGGAGGACACTTTAGGTAAGGTAGGTAAGGAAGGGACGATATCTGGCAACTGCTCAAGTTGTGTTGTCTCGATTAATCGTTACCCCGAAGTCTTGGCGTCACCCGTCTCGCGGCGTGGCTTCCCGACTTTGTGAGGGGAAATCCCGAGGTAACGTCTCTTGGCTAAATGCAATATTCGTTAAATCCTCCTCTTTCAAGCTTAAGTGGGCATGAACATTGCTAAGGTAAGCGCGGGCAGTTGAGACAGAAGATGCGAAGTAGGTAGCACCTTACCTAAGGCAAAGACAAGCAACCGCATGGGTTGAAGACTGCAAGGTTCCTTCCCTGGCTGAACAAGGTTAGTTCCGCCGTGCCCCCCCAGCAGCGCAAAGAGCCGATTTGCCGAGCCAATCTGATCCTGGTGGCTTTTTTTTTTTTTCTTTTTTTTTTTTTTTCCGCCTGGCCCTCTTCTTTGAATTAAAGCTGTGGAAACCCAAAATACTTTTTTGTGGTGCCAGTGGTGGTTGGTCACTGGTCAAAAAGAGAGAGGAGACTGGAAAGAATGGAAGGGGGAAAAAAAAAAGGCAGGAAGCGGATGGCAGGTGACAGGTGATTGGCCTCTCCTACCCCGGTCAGATGGCTGCCTTGCAATGCCTAAATTTAGAAACAGCTAAGTTGCCTGATCGGGAGACACTAGCCAGTAGTAGCCGGGGGCAGGAACAGGTGAGTGTTGTGTGCACCTGCCACGGGCTTGCCTCTGCATCAGTCTCACAGGTCTTGCCTACCTCAGGTTGGTGTCAAACCAAGCCTGCGTTCTGCCTTCTCTTTCTAGCGCGCTCCAGTCCTTGGTTGACCTCCCCACATCTCCTGCCTGCAACAACTGCACCTCCGAGTCTCCAATGGCAATGCCAACAGCAGCAAGACCAACCGTGGTACCCTCGCCCAGGTCCTCCTACCTGGCAGGAAGAAGCGAACAACGACAGCCCTAATGCCTCCTTCATCTGCCACTCGCAACTTTGCAAGGTAGGTAATACTCCGTACTCCGTACTCCGTACAGAGACACTTTACCTAACGGACAGCTTGTCTATCTGCGGTCTTTACCCGACTCCTGGGCCCATCCTCGCACTGGAGACTTCGATTTCCCACAATTACCTACATTATACACACCGAGCGAGCATCACCGCCGTGGACCTGACCTAAGCTGGCCTGACCTTGTTAAGTTTTTCTACCAATCCCGGAGCTTCTTGCTTCGCCATGGTGCATCACCTTGCCGCCTATCGCCCATCGCTCATGGGGTCTTGAGCCCGAAGTCCGACTTTTCATGTTCCGTGCCCAGTGCCCACCCCTGAGCTCTCTCCAACGTCTTTACAAACGCCATTTCATGAGACACCGAAACCCCCCGAGCTCATGTCTCGAGCCCAACCCCCGGCCCTACGACAACCTTTGGTTTCGATCCTAGCCAACCCTTCGGATGTCATCGCCGTCTCAACCCGCGCATTCGACCTTGGCTCCGCTCTCCTCGAGCCGATGGCTCTTGCTCAACTCTCGCCGCAGGTCGCTCGTCCTTCCCGAGGCACAGTAACGAAATCCCGGTTCTTTATGCCTGTTCCCTAGCAATACCGCATGATTGAGGACTTTCTCTTACTTGGCTACAGGCTGACTACATGCAGGCCACTTGTGTGCTGCAAGACAAAGGCTCAGAAAGCCACTGCTAGACGATTCGCAGAGGAACTCCACCACTGACCCGTGACCAGGGCTCTGACAGTTCACAGCATGACAAGCGTTGCGAGCTAAGAGCAACCAGCTGCTGGCCTAGTGCAACGAACCTCTTGGCACCTAACTCGGCTTGGCTTTCGTTTTCCAAAGCCTAACGTCAAGCGCCTCTCTGACCGTCAATGATATGATCGAACCTGATCGACGCTGTGCCTCTCTGACTCGACCCGCGCTCATTATCGACACTTTACTCGGCACGGCTAGGTCAGGACGCCTTCTGCTTTTCCGCTGCTCCAGGCACATGGTTTACCGCAGAGCAAGCGCACCCTGCGGCCGCCGAAGGTCATCGCTTGCCTCGGTCTGTGGCTGAACGCAACTTAGTCCCCAACAGGTCTGAGTTGGGCCCGCCCTGCCAGCCGTCAATCACCCTCTTGCCTCCACGTGCTCGACAACACAGCTTGGGCTTCTTTGTGCGCTTAATTGTTGGCTGCTTAGCCGTCAAGTCGCTCCGTCCCCAACTTCCCGGGGGGGCTTGTAAACGGTTCCATGGTCTTCGACGCGTGCAAACGGAAAAAAGTTCCTGATGTTGGGTCGAACGGCATTTCCATCTGCTGCACCTCAAGCATTTGTCACAGCATCCGCCATTCGTCAATCTCCTCCCTCACTACGGATAGAGCCCCCTTTTTCTGGATTGCACCCTCCACTCTGGCCATTACGTCCCGGCCGGGACGCCTCACCCGATCTCTCGACGGCTTCTTGCACCCAAGACTACAGATCATCAAGCAACGTTGGACGGTCTCTGCCGTGCTGCAAAAGCCACAGCACGCCCGGTCCAATTACTATTGGTATCTTGTTCAGCACAGGCGCAGCTCCTGAGCACAAGATGCCCACCGCTCCGCTACTTTACCACTATACCATGTATTCTGCACGCTGGCATCCACAGCTGCAACTTCCGCATGCCCCGAGCCCAAGATTGGCGAGATCATCGCTCGCCATGATCACGCTGCGTAAGTTTTCGCTTCCTGTCAGTAAATGAAGCGTAGTGTGAGACGTTTGATGCCTCGATCCTTGGGATGCAGCCCTGTGTCTCCGATAGAGTGCGGATCATCCCATCACCTCCCCTCTCTGGATAGAAAGCCGTGTACCTCGGCGACATGTCGTTGATCAGCATCAAGATCGCGATCTCTCAGTTTTGACAACGTGCTGCTGCCAGACGAGAGGGAGTACCGTCACCAGTCCTGTCACTATTGTGTCATTTGCGTGTGACCTTTGCGGAACCCCGTCGATGGTCGTCCGCAGTCGTCCCGCCATGCTAGTCCCTCCGAGAGCATTTCACAAAGAGTCTCGATGACCATCATCTCGGACAGTTGCCCAATGGGAGTTGAGCCCTAAACACTGGCTCGGGAAATCTCCCACGATCCCCATCTGGGAGGGCTTGATGTAGTTAAACTTCCGTTAGAAGGGTCCAACCGTTTGCCACCTCGGGTCTTCTGCCGTTCTTCAACCCGTAAGCTAGTGTTTGATAGGCGTACGGATCACCCGGTGAGAATCCGGAGTGGCGTGAAGGCCTCTTTTCTTAGTCCCGTTGTCTTGCTCAGGAGAAGTGCACTGTGAGAGACCGCGAACCGAATCTGGATGATGATGCTTTGGAGCGATTTGCAGACTTCACTCCCTAGTGTCGCGAAGTGCCCCTTTGGTAGCGGCCCGGGTTGGTGGCAACCTTGTTAGTAGCGTCACGGGAATGTCCACTCGAAATATCCAATCTATTTTTGAAATGGGGGTTGGCTGGTCTGTCAAGTGGTGGATTGCCCTGGTTGCCATTGCGGGATGGCATGACTTGGTCGTCATATCGAGAGCGTCTGGCGTCCCACAGCATGCAACTAACGGATTCCTTTGAGGCTTGCTCCAACGTTTGACGCTGGACAGTGGTGTGGCGCGTTACTAACGCCCTGTTCTTGTCGTCCGCACCAGTCAGGTTGGCTGACACGCGCCACAGGGTTTCTGGAAAGTCTGACAGACTATCGGACATGAAAACCTTGATTCTGAGACGGGTATGTGCCTCTATCGTCCATCCCTCGCCAAATCGCCCAATTGTGGCTAATAACCGGATGGCTAGACCTGCGATGTCGTTGCGGTCGTCACAGTCGGGGGCGCATTTACACTTTGTCCGCGAGTCAGTTCTCCCATCCGGAGTTCATTCCATGAAGCTTTTAGACACTTTTTTATTTTGTTTGACAGCAGCTTTGTGGGTGCCGACACACCGCAGCTAGTCCAGGCATCCGGGAATCTGGTATCCGCCGTGAGCCGGCATTACCCAGTCCTCAGACTTTCGGAAAATTTGAAGTTGAGTGAGGGTTGTGTGTGAGCCTTGGCTGATTCCCGACAACTGTCGCATCCCGTCCACCGGGATGGTCTCGGAGGGGGAGGGGGCGGCAACGGCGATCAACCCGGCGATGTTAAGCATCACGGGCCTGAGGGCAGCGCCGTCTGGTGCACCGTACGCCAAACCGTCTTGTGTCATTCTCCTCGACTTCGGATCAAGCTGAGGGGTTCGATGGCCTCCTCTCGCCGGTCAAGGCAACCACTCGGCACTTACGGCAGCGAAAGGGGGCCGTTGAATCCGATCGATATTAGCGCAGACATAGCCTCTCACTGTGAGCAAGAACGCATCGCACACACTCTCACACACACATACACACACCTACAGATAATAGGTCCATTCCCCAAACTGAATCGATGTCAAACTCTATAAAATTAGCCAGCCTGGCAATTTGCAAGTGGGCGCACTTCTCGACGGTGGCGGCGGCGGTAAATTGAGATGGGAAAGAAGCGAGTTAAATGCGAGGCGCTGACGGCTTATCTGGTGAACGGACGGAATTCCGCTGACAACTGATATGCTAGACTCATCTCGTTAGGATGGGGAATGCGGCGAAATCGAACCATGATGCATCTTTTGATAGGTGAGAAATGATGCTCACTCGGAAACCATGAAAGTCTAAAGAGCAACAGTCAGTCCCTTTTCCGACTTCAGGCAAGTTTGGAAATTCAGACCGTCTGTAGGGGCATATGCCTACTCAGCGCCCACTCTCCCACTCCTTGGCAAGGCGCGAGGAAACGACGCAGCGGGCGCGTCTGTCAGATGGGACGACAATAGAGGAAGCCTCCGGAGGGGGCGGCTCATGGATGGATGACACCGACAAGATGTTCACGGGTTGTTTCTGCGCCAGTCATTTTGGCATCTCCGCTAGACGCCGCCCCGCTAAAGCTCATCCGTAAGGGTAGGGAGAGAAGGATAAGAAAAGGACTGAACTCGGTCGAAATTGAGATCTTCGTGTGCGACATTGGGCAGGCAATATGAATCGCCTTGTCTCTTTCTCTGTGCTCTGTTCATTGTTGGTGGGTTTTTTTTGGCACGGGGAATTATTCTTAGAAGCTGGGGGCAACGGCATAGCGTCGCGTGGGGAACCTACCTCGCCTTCGGATAGGTTGCAAGGAGTTTCTGCAGTCTACAGACATAAGTGCACAATTTCATTTCACAGATATCGGCAGCTCAAATCCCCGATGGCACAATTGGCTAGCGCGTCAGACTGTTAATCTGGAGGTTGGTGGTTCGAGCCCACCTCGGGGAGGTAACAGCGGTTCAATTCCGTTTCAATGTTGAGCAATTTTTATGTCAGTTTCAATGTGATGGGCAGTTTAGCCGTACTTTTTTCCATTTGTCTGTCGTATTGAACAAAGAAAGGTCATTATATTATGTCTGCCACTCCGCACAGGTGTAAGACGCCTCACTTTTTGGGGTGGAATAGACGCAACAGCTTAGTATCTAATTTGTTTAGGGATGGATAGGTAGTCCGTAGTAGGCTGGCCTTGCGGTGAATGATAGGCAAAGCTTCATTATATCAGCCAGTCCGCGCTGAGACTTGAGCACCCCTGGCACGCCTAAATCCTCGATGATCTGCCAACATCACTTGGGAGTGCGCAGGCTTGAAGACGTCTTTCCACTATTGCATTCCGCACCTGAGTTTTCCCAATAAAGACGATCCAGACTAGTAGTATTCAATCACTTCACAGAATTCTTTTTCATGCCGCCGAGACGCTCTAGCTAGCTAGCCTCTATGTATTTAATCAATTTGAGAAGGAAAGGCGATGCTTTGCCAGGGATCTCAAGTGCATTTTGCTTACTATCCGCAATAAGATCTTGAAGTTGACGAGGGTTCAAGTGGTATATCCTCGCTCACGGTCACCATCTGGTTGAAACTGAAACGCACAGTGAGGAGTATATTCTTCGAGCATTCCAGGCTTTTCACCGCAGTTGGCATCCGATTCAATATGCTTTTTCTGCCTTCGATTAAGTAGATACCGTGAGACGCATGCTATGTCCACCAACAGCTTCGCTTGTAAGAGCTGTGCCAAGTTGCTAATGAGTAGCTCAACATTGCAGCTAAGAAACCATCTTAAACCCCCGCCGACCGGCGGGCCAAAGGTCACTTGAAGAAGCGGGCCTCATACCTAGGAACTGTCTTAGATTCTACTCATGTTGGTCGAGTGTACGGTAGCCTGCTCATGCGTAGGCTCAAGAAAGATAAGGCATGCCATCAATCCCGTCTCAAGTGCTGCTGATGAGGGAATCACCCACCCCAATGGTTGCCCCTTGGAAACAGTAACTCAACCTAGCTCTCAGCGTTTTCAGCCTTTGCAGGTTTTCTTCCGTAGATGGACCAGCTAGAAGGGTGTCAGTAAGAAAATGTTCGTAGAGGTCTTCAAGGAATGCTCACATTGAGAAGTAAGCATGGATACTCCTGTCTGCAATGTCTCTCCTGGCCTCCATGATGTGAACTATCGCCTCTTCCCTTGTCCATCCATGGGCGCGCGTCAAAGGAGCCATTAGGAACCCCTCCCAGGCAGGTGAGATGTTCTCGAGATTCCATTCGCCGAGCTCTTTGTAATGGCGGTCCTTCGGCCAGCTGTTCGTGGGCCATTTGAATCTCTTCATCTGAACGTCCTCGAAACCGACCTCTTCCATGAATTGTTTTAACCGACGTGTATCTGCGAAGGGACGCCCAAAGATTTCTGCTGCAGAACCCCATAATCGAACACTCTTCATGAGATTGGAGTCCTCCTTGAGAGTGCCGTCATCCGATAGGGGAATGAGGTCAACTTCGTTGGCCTCCAGGTAGCCTCCAGGGTTCAGATTACTGTCAAAAAGAATTAGTATGTCAGACTTAATGGCGCCGTTGAAAGACTGACTCATAAGACTGTTTGAATAGCTTCTTCCAGTCGGTGATACTCCACGTCATCATTCTGCAATGAATATAGTCGAAAGCATCCGAAAAGATCCAAGGCTCCTCAATATCGTCGACCTCGAACCTTACGTTCGGCGGGACACTTTTACAAACAGTTAGTCTTTACTTAACATAGTAAACACTTAATTGGATCAGAAGTCATACAACTCTGGTTGAACAGCAGAGAGGTCAACGCCGAGGACCTGGGGCACGAATAAATCAGTGCCAACAAGTCTGATAATCAATTCGTTTCGTGAACTTTACCTCTGCTTCGGGATGCTCTTCGCCATAGTCAATGGCCCAAATGCCACTGCCTGTTCCAATATCGAGAACTCGTCCAACTTTAGCGTCAAAATCTGCAGGCGGAGCATTGCCCAGGTGATCATGGAATGTGCGAATAAACAAGTTATGTTGCAAGTCTACCAGTACTTCATCAGTTTTGAAGTCAGCCGAAAATGAGGAACAGGATACACACCAAGTCTATCGTTTTCTCTCTCATCATTGGGCACCCAATATTCTAGTTTTGTCAGTTCCGTACAACATACCATCTGCCAAGTCCTTGAACTGACTGCCATCCTTGTACCTGTGGTACGTTCTGCCATTCTCGATTCGATAATCGAGGATGGAGCTGCTCAAACTCGTCGTGGATGAAGCAAGGCTTTGCTACTTTTGGTGAGCTTCTTCCTTGAGTATACGGGTTGTGGAACTTGCTACACACCTCGCTCACGGACGCATCATCACCGGTAGTCTGTACAAAGTCAGAGGTCCGTTTTTCTCTGGTTCTTACAGGAGTGGTACCTCATCGGCTGCGATGAAGACGCCCTGTTCGGTTTCTTCATTTAACTGGGCGGCGGCTGCAGCTGGCAATGGAGCGACTGGCGAAGAAGCAGCTGGTGCTTGGTCTACGGCGCTGTCGTCGGGACACATGTTTGCGATTGAGGGGGTCAAATTCCAAGATTGCGAACTTTGGCAGCAACTAGTTCGGACTTATCCGGTGGTCCAGCTCAGCGGTACTTGGCAACTTATCGGTCTGAGAGATGATCAATCAAGTCTTGTTACCCCTCCTTTTCGCTGGAGACAATTATGCAGGTTTGCTTCCAACAGGCCACTCTCGCGACATGGATCTGGGTGCGTGGGGGGCGGCTCCCTGCAAACCCGAGCAAGCCGCGCACCCGAATGAGACAATAGGCCGACAAGAGGCTTTCCAACGACGGTCATATGGCCGTCGTGGAGGATTTTGACCGGCAAAAATTCATCTGGGACACGCATGCCTCGCCAGCGCTAGGATGAAAGAGCCTTGCTTCCTAGCCAAAGATCCAACACAACTGCAGACTGCAGACCTTCCCCATCTGATAGCCCACAATTTTTCGGGCATCGCTCCCGCTGCATTCGCTTGCAGCATTTAGGTCTTCTCATCCATTACGGATAAATTGGTTTGCCTACCTTACATGTAGCATTTGATAACGCGCCAACACTCAAAACGGACTGGTGAGCAAACATATCGGCAAGACTTTGATTTTTGGCTCAGACCTCGGCACCTAGTATTACTCATCTATCGAAAAAAAACAGCAGTAGTTGAGACTGACTGGTCAAACTTGAAGATATCTAGTTGGAGTGGTAGTGCATACTAGATACTCGGTTCGATCTTTCTACATTGCTCATGATACTTCATAAGTTCTTGGACCCTGGCTCTAGGCTCCAACATGTCTATGACGAATCTTGATTAGTATGCGGCAGGGTATTTGCTTCTAAAACACCGGTATTTAGTTGCAGTGCTTTTCTAGAGAATGGCCACGTGCAGCAAAGGTTCTTACTGTGCGCCCCTCTGAACTCTGAGAGTATTGAGCAGCGCGGCGATTCACTGAGGAACAGTTAAGCTTTCAGCGTTTACGATGAATTATCTATTCGTTTGTTTGTGATTCTATATCATGCTTAGGTAAGGCATTTAGACATTATTATTGTGAGCATCCCTGTGATTCACTGCAGTTTGACCTATTACTGCCCCTCAGCTTGGGAAGTTCAGTTAGTCCAACAGTGAAGGGAAGTGAAAGTTTCCGATAGTCTTAGATGGAAAGGGGAGGGTTTATATCCAAGGTAAACAAGGACTTTGACGCAAAGCACGTAAAGCAGATTTGTCTCCACCAATCGACTCAAACCTAGAATCACTTTCAACGTTCAAGATGACGATAACGTCTCTCTCACGCATCTGTCGCTGTATTTCCCCGTAGAATAAACCAAGGACAATCGGTTGAGCAGATAGTCTGTCACTTCCGCGGACCGATCCACAGTCCAGGTCCGGTTCAACGACCGACCACTGACAAGACGGCAATTCGCTACAGCTTACGACTTAGGGATTTTTCTACCTTAATCCGAATTAATTTAAACGGCGTTCTTTTGGTATGGTTGCAGCGTTCAAGCAGGAAAAGTCTGATGTACGAGTGTCACTCGCAGCTCCTCGAGCCGCGTTGCCATATGAAGAGTCTGCAAGTGCACTGCGTCCCAAGCACCCCGTGTCCCTTCAGTCCGAACCGCAGCCTGCGTTACTGAGCTACAGACAAAAGTCTGAGCTCTTCTCAAGATTTGGACCAAGTTCATCCGGAGATATAACGCCCTGTAAAAGGCAGTCGGCGTGCTGTCTCGACAGGTTGGGGTGGCGAACAGTGGAGAAGACTTCCCAATGTGGACTTGGTTTGCCGAAGGCTGCGGAGCGTGCCGTCGGCCTGAAAGAAGCTCCCGAAACTCTGACCTGGATCGCCCCTCGACAGCCCCTACCAAATGTTATTGGGTGGCTACTTACCCCAGATTGTGTATCTTGAGACCAAACCGTCCTGGACATGTCAACGGAACTTCTCGCGAGCGCCATCGTGAGAGTCCGAGGGCTCCGAATCTCGTCCATGTGCCTAGATCGCACTTCTTCTCATGATGTGCGTCAGCCGGAAAGAATTCATACCCCGGCGGACATTCCGAATAGGCGAGCTGAGTCCAGGCCACCACAGAGGAGAAGAGTTCAGGAGTGCGCGACGCCACCGGCTCTACAGCTGACGTTGCGGACTGCGGAAATCGCTCCAATTAATCAACCTAAAGCGGTAATTCGGTATCGAGCCATTAGGATTGGTACTGCATTGAAATACTCACGATGATGCAAGTGACTTTTCCACCAGAGTGTCCAGAGATCACAGACACTCAAATATAATTCTTCTAAAGACATTTTGATTGGAAGACATTTGACTATGACTGTTCAACCCTTCACGGTCATTATCGTCGGCGGTGGGCCGAGCGGCATCACGGCGGCGCACGTTTTGCAACGTGCTGGTATCGACTTCGTCGTCCTTGAGAGAAGGGATAGTATTGTCGGCGATGCTGGCGCCAGCCTGGTCCTCGGCCCCGGGTCCATGCGTGTATTCCATCAACTTGGGATCCTCGAGCAGTTGATGGAAATTGGCAATATGTTATCATCAGGCATGGGCTTCACCGCCGACGGCCATATCTTCAAGCAAAGCTTGATTGGTGATTATATGATGAAGAAGTAAGTAGTTGGCTTTTCTAATGCTGAGTTCATGGAATCTCATGCTAACGGCTGCTGCATTTAGTCACGGCGCAGGACTCACCACGTTCCACCGAGCCAACCTGATCCAAGTCCTCTACGACACCCTCCCCGAGTCAGCAAAAGCGCGCTATTTCACCGGAAAGAAGCTGTCAAATGTTGATTCGACCGAGACGGGTGTCACGGTGACCTGCGAAGACGGCTCAAAGTATTCCGGCAGCATGATTATCGGTGCCGATGGCGTCCACTCCACGACGCGACGCCAGATGCGCGAGCTCGCCCTCGCCGAGGACCCCAACCGCGCATGGGACCCCGTCAACCCTTACAAGATCCAATACCAATGCTTGTGGGCGTCTTTCCCGCGACCCACCGCGGCCGGACAAGGCTGCGAGACACAGAGCAAAGATCGATCCATCATGTACCTTACCGGCAAGGAAAGGGGGTGGATCTTCCTCTACGAAAAGTTGACTGCGCCTATTCCTGAAAGAATCTCCTTCACTCCCGAGCAGCTTGAGGAATACGCCGAACGATTCGCAGACTGGCCGGTCACAGAGACGCTCAAGGTCAAGGACGTCTTCAAGGAGCGGTACAGCGCGGGTGGAGCCGGTCTCGAGGAGGGCATTTGCAACAACTGGAGCTGGGGCGGCCGCATGGTCCTCGTCGGCGATGCCGTGCACAAGTTCACGCCCAACGCCGGCTTGGGGTTCAACAATGGCCTCCAGGATGTTGTTGCCGTTTGTAATAGGCTGCACAAGCTCGTTTCCAATGGCGACAAGCCCTCGCCCTCGCCCACCGAACTGCAGAAGCTCTTCGACGACTATCGTGAGGAGAGACACCAGCTCCTGGAGAAAGACTTGGATGCGTCGGCTCGATTGACGAGGATGCATGCCTGGGCATCGACTTGGGATTGGATCATGGCGAGATACGTGATGGCGTTCTCGTTCGTGGAGAGGATCTTCTTCACGTTGAAGAGGTCTCCGTCCATTCAAAAGGCCAAGGTGCTGGACTTTGTACCGGCTACGGAGGTTTGCAAGGGCAAATACCAGTGGTTATACCCTTTCCCGTGCGAGAAGTAGATCGAGTTGTGATGGTTCAAATTCTTTCATTCCAACTTATTACATTATTGGAATAATTTCAGTACCAAGCAGGAGTTGGACAATTTAGAATATGCAGAACTTGTACAAGTAGCAGCAATAGAGGAACCGCAATTTCGAGTTGCCATGTGTCGCCGCCCAGTGACTTGTAGTGTCATTTCTTCATGTTTTTTTCGAGTTGCATGCGATGAACCCAATGTTGCCAGCTCAACGAGGAATCTCGGTAAGCCTGATCTCTCCGCAACTTTTTGGAAGATTGCGACACACAGTCGTCTTGAGAACCTACAACAGTATATCTCAAACTTGCTGGTTTCTCGCAGACGTTGAATCAAGGCGAAGATCCGCAACCCACTTCTATTCTTGAGTTCAGCGTGCGACATTACGCGAAACTCTAGTTGATTGACCCGAGTGACTCTTGAAAGTCGGTAGCTGTTAGACCAAGAAGCCAGTTAGCGTGCCGACTAATTAACCAACTTGGACTTTGCCATAAGTCTACGTTGAAATAAAGGTAGGAAACAAGTGCCAGATGAGTGAACTGGTCCCTCGATGACTTGGAACGCTTGTATGGTGTAAGACGACAGCCCAGGAGCAGCTTGGGAAGTGGAGCTGACAGTCCGACAGCAAGTAGCTGAGAACGATATCCTCACATTTACCGAGCCATCATTCGATCTGCAGTCTGTAGCCTTCAGTAATTGGGTTGTAAACCAAAGCAACCGGACGTGACACCGCCGAACCTTGGTCCACGTCGGAGGCGGAGGCGAGCGGATAACCTGCCTCCTTTTGGTAACCCATTCCACTCAGGTGTCTGGAGCGGAAAGTCTTATTAAGTCGCCGTGCTCATCGATACACGTAGACTCAACTATCTGACAATCGGTTTACGTCGTTTCCTGGGTTGGATGGTCTGGATAGTTGCACTCTCCTATATACATACTCTCAAGGACTAAGTTTCACTCTTCGCTCGTTTCCGTCTCTTATCCCCCCAGTTGCGTCTACCTTTTTCATCTCAACACCATGTCTTCGTCTTACGGAAGCTGCTGCTATGGTAACTTCAAGACATCGTTCAAAGAGGATCCCATAACCACAGGCCGCCAGCACTTAGAATAACGCATCCCTGCATCACGAACACCATAAACTAATCATGGCATAGGCCGCCTGCTACTGCCTCACTTGCCGCAAAATCTCAGCCATTTCGTGCCAGCTGCCGCCTTCACATGCGAGCAGCGCACTTCGAAGAACTACTCCAGCACGTCTGACAGCGGAAATGAAGTCGTCTACCACTGTTGCGGAAAATGCGGCGTCATGCTCTGGGCCGACGGGGCGTCCTCCCCGTTCAAGTTTCGTCAAGGCCGGCGTCTTAGACGACCTTGCCGCGCTAGACCACCTAAGGCCCGCCGCCGAGATCTATACCTGTCGCCATGCCGCATGGTATCAACCGCTGGATGGCGCCTAGCAGAAGCAGAGGATGTAGTTGGCGGCGGCCCTTGAGCCGATGGCGGGATGAGTTCCCGATAACAGCATACACAAGATGTGTCAGAGATCCTTAAAGAGACGCCGTCAGGTTGGTTGGCTGATAGGTATCCAGTTTGACATTACAATTCAAAGGTAACTACCAATTAGCTTTGGCTCGGCGGCTCGGCCCGGGTAGTTCGTTGTCGTCATGGCATTAACCATCGCTTCTGCTTCCGATGCAGATGAGCCCTCATCTAACCGCCCTCATCAAATCACTGGAAGACCATTCACAATTTCTCGGCCTCCTGACATTAGTCTCGCCATAATGGGCAAAGGGAAAAGTATAACAGCCGTCGTGCCGCTCATAGAAGAGAAGAAATACTGCCATAGCACAACCTTGTTTTCTAACGCTCTCAGAATGACCCTAAAAGTCGATCATCCTTCCTCCTGGTTCTCCCCGTCACCTTAACAACCCATCAAGTTGGCTAAATCAAATCGCCCTGTCACCATCCGCCAGGTTCTACAGTTAACAAAAAACAAACTGAAAGCCCACCTAGTTCTAACACATCCACAACCAGGTCCGCACCTGCTTTAGATAGTCTAAAATAGTCATGAATCTCCCCCTTGCCTCCACAACTTCACTCTCCCATTACAGTTGTACAACATGTACCTCTTCCTGACTCCCGTCTGTCACATACGACCATACCCATTGGAAAACTCGGGATCCCGTCCGCTCTCCCATAGATAAGCTAATGAGGGCCGGATTAGTAGTTGGGTCGGTGACGACCAGCGAATACCTGGTGCTGTATGTCTTTTGTCGATTTGCTTTTGTCGGAACTCGCATCTCACGATGGTGGTTGACTCTTTACATTTTTTTTGATGGCTGTTGCTTTCCAGCGTTGAATGACGAATCAGAATTAAGCGCTGGCCTTTATTGGTATTGGTTTTTAGCGCTGCCCTTCAGGTGTTAGTTGCACGTGTGCACGTTCATTGCTGACATGCACCGGCAGGGACTACCAAAAGTCTAAATTCCAACCTTGCGTCATGAACGGTGGTCCCACTCCGATGAACTTGACTCGAGGAACATCTCGATCTTACTTACTTTGCTCACTTACACAGCCATGACGATACTTGTCGCATCTCTCTTCATCGGTCATCATGGCCAGCAGCGTACAACCCGGAAACACAAAATTGGACAGCACGAAACTGTTATGATTGATGCAACATATGCCTGTGTACATGTATATTCTCCATGGGCCTTTTGATGGCTGCGGAAGACTCTCCTTGCGACTCCTGCTTTTTGGGGGGATGTTCTTCGTACAACACGGATAGGGAACAGAAAGGGTGGTAGGCTTAAACCATACACACCGCAACTGAACGGAAAAAAAGAGAGTAGATGCGCGTCAATTCGATGCGGCTTGGTCCAAAGGTATCATGACGCTCGTGGCCGGGACCAACCTCGTTAACAAAAACAAAGCAAAAAGAAAATCAAAGGAATCCTTCCTTTCCCGGTGCTCCCATTCGTGAAAACCAAATCAGCGTCCCGTCTATTCCAAAATGCCAAACTCCAAGATCGCCGGGTTTCGGGGCTCTCGTCTTTGTCTACGAGGCACCGAACTCCACATTATGACGGCTTGCCCCGTTCCGCCGACCTCAACTCCGTGCCTAGGCCGCTGCGATGCTTCGGTTATGGTGCCGTGTCGTCCTGCCCAGCAGATTCAGTTTCAAACATCATTGCGCGCTCTGAGACCTCGACCGGTTGCCGCGTCGGTGGGATCGCGGAGTGCTGTTTCCCTCCCGCCCCGCGCCGGCTCTCAATGCATCGGTGTAACTGGGTATCGGGGGTTGCGATGGTCCGGCCGCGGCGGCTGCTGAGGCGCCTCGACTCCGATTCAGGACGCGGATCAGCGGCGTGTTTTCGCTGTCTGTACTGTTCCGGCGGCTACCGGCCTCCGAGTGGTCGGGGCTCGTATATTCGGGTGGCGGGTTCAAGGCGTCTTGAAGACCAAGCCCTACGACGCTTTGCCCTTCGTGCCCGCGATTGATGCTGCTGCTTGGCTCGCCGCCCTCATCGTCGGGCACAAAGTGCGTCAGGGAGATGTCAGTCGGGCTTCTTACGGGACCGGGGCTCCTCGGTGGTAGTACTCTGAAGTTTCCGCTTCTCGTCCGCCCATGCTGAGGTCCCAAGCCACTTTGCGAGTAGGACTGCGTCTGGGAAGGCCCCCGCTGTTGCCCGCCGGCACCGGACGTGTACCCGTCCTTACGTCCGGCCTCTAGCAGGATGTCGCCTTGCTCGGAGCCATACGGTGGCGGCGGGGCCAGACTGCCCGTCATTGGGGCGAGGCCCCATTTCTTCACGTTGGCCTCGATGAAAACGAAGCCGGCCTGACCAAAGTTGACGTGGACGATACAGGGCCCGTTCGCCCCAATGGCAGGGAAGAAGTTTTGCGACTTAACACCATGGACGGCGTCTTCCAGTTTCTTACCGTTGCGGGTGAAGAAAATGGTCCCCGTCCGAGGACGATAACCAACGCCGATGACATCGCCCTGGACGAAATGAGGGCCGTAGGGAGTTGCAGCGAAGGGCTGATTACAACGGCGATGGCCTGCTGACAGGTATGCTACGGAATGTTTATGGAAGCCTGGACGGTTAGCGTGGCACGGTTGCAGCGAGGGGCAGGAATGTCATACCTGGTAGTCTAAACAACGGGTATGGCTTGGTGGCCATGCCGATGCTGAGTAGGGTGTTTTCGGGCTTATCGTAGATCTTGGCCTCCCAGTAGTAGACCTCGTTTTGTTTGGGTACAGGCAGATTGCTCATTACGGTGCACTCGGAGTCGAAGAACTCTATCTCGGTGCGGCCCTCGACGAAGCAGTTTGCAATTTCCAGTTCGGGTTCGAACTCCCAGGCGGAAACACCCTTTTCTTGGATGGCGAGATATTGCGATAGAGATATGTCGGTTTGGACCGATTCCGGGGGATTGGCTTGGATGAATGCTACAACCGGGTCAGTCGTGTGCGAATATCACGGTAACGGCAACCAATGGCCTACCTTTTGCTCTGAGATACTCGGTCCTCTGCATATCGTCCATGGACTCGAGGGCCTCGGCCTCTTCGCGGGCGAAAGCCTGCTCGTCGTCATACTCACCTGGTCGTCCGATGCGATCGAGAAAGATGCGACCGCTGGCCGTGTATCTGAAGAAGTAGATGACGAGGAAGATGAGAGCGATAAGGACGGCGGAACCAAAGGACGATAGCAAGCCGATGACAACGCCGTTCAGCGCCGATGATGGGGTTGTCGGTGCCATGGCGAGCAGGCGGCGACTTTCTTCGATGTAATCCGGTCAATCGGTCGGTCGTCGGTGGGGGAGAGAAGAGTGGTGAGGTGGGATCGGTCGATCGAGAGGAGGGACGGCTGGCGTCACCGCCGCGAAAGCAGCATACGCGGGCTACTCGACACTCGTGAAGCAGGTGATGAGAAGAAGACAAGTGACGTCGGAAAAGTTGGAAATGGTAAAAGAATAAAGGAAGGTCGCCGTCGACGGACGGACGGTGCGAAGAGAGAGAGAGATTAGCTGGGATTGAAGGAGATTCGGAAGAGTTGATGGTTTGGGACAAATTGAATTGGCGCGGGCAGGCGGCGTAGGCGTGAGCGCAAGGTGAGCGTAGGCGTAAGGTAGCGGCGTGTGGTAGGGTCAGACGAGCGTTGTCGTCGTCTAGGTAGGCTTTGGTGGTCGGGCGATTGCGTACCGCTACGACAGGACAGTAGAAGAGCAGCGAGCAGCGAGCAGCGCGAGTGGTTGCGTTGCCCCAGTTCTCCGACTGACCCAAGTCGCAGGTGGATGGGGCATGGGCGGGCTGCTCTTGTTTGTGGCGGGTCCCCCTCTCAGCTGGGCGTGCGGCGTGCGGCGCAGGCAACCTGAGGTAAAGTACCTTTAGGTAAGGTAGGCTTCCGTCGGCAGCAGCGCGAAGTGAGGTAGTTGGCTGCCCAGGCTGGCCTAGCTGTCCAAAGGCGACGGAGTACTAGGTACCTTTTACTACCTTATTGTATGGTAGTAGATAGGCCGGTCACGTAGGGAGCATTGGACCCGGGGATCAAGTATCCGAACGATGCAGTAGAGGCAGCGCAGGGAGGGATCAAAAGAGACAGTATTCAGAGTTGAGATGAAAAAAGGAGGGGGGAGGGAAAAAACGAATAAAATAAAAGCAAGGTGTGAGCAAAAGGCTGCACAAGCGATCCGGTAGTTTGGTACCAAGTACGGATAATGTGAATGAATACGTATATCCTTCGTTGGTTCGTGGTGGTGGAGGGAAGCACCAAAGGTAGGTTTCTCCGTACGGTCGAAAAGGGAGAGGATGCGCAAGGAGGTTCAAAGCTGGACCGTGGACGACAAGGTCTAAAAGGCAATGAGAAATCAAGCGAGGGCTTGGGCGCTGCCGGTCTTCGTCAATCGATGTGTCAGGCGTGGATTTGTATCTAGAATCAAGAATCTAGAATGAGGTAGAGACAGAGAAGAAGAAGAAGAGGAAAAGAAGAAGGAAGAGCCTGATTAGGACCAGAACCGGCTAGAACCAGGACCAAGGACGGAACGCCGAGATGTTCTGCATCGACAACTGCCTGCTCCGGGAAGAGGTCACTGGCCACTGGCACCGCCCGGGACTGGAGGACGAGGAAGACGGGGTGACGACTCGGAAGCAAGAAAAAAAAAAAAAAAAAAAAAAAAAAGGTGTACGGGAGACGACGGCACGACCACCCGCAACACAACACAGGGCCACAGGCAGCACGCAGCTCGACGAGTTACAAGCGGGTCAGGGGCTGCGGTACACGGGCCATGTCCGGATCGTGTTAGAGGTTTCGACTGTTTCCGGTGCCTCATGCTAACAGGTGGCGGGGACAGCTTCGTCCGCGGAGTCGCCGCACCCAGTCGTCGGGTCCTTCTTACATTGCACACTTGCTGCAACCCTTGCACGCCCTGATGACGCTGACCATCTTAAATCTTGCCATCTCGTGCCTTGTTGGTCACTCCAGGTCCGATACTTGGCCCTCCTATTACCCCACCCGCCAACTATCGTGTACATTGTACGGTGTACTGCACCGCAAAAGAAAAGTGGGCTGTCAAGAGCTGTCTACATAGGTAGTAACAACTCTGTCGCTCACTCCTCATTGTGCACGCCCATTTCTGGGTGGGCGGAGGATGAAGACGCACCCACGCCGAGGGGCCCGATGAATCTGCAGCAATCGTCCGTCCGGCAGCTCTGGAACCACCGGAGACTGACGGGAGCCCACTTGGACCATGGTCGCCGGCAGCAGCAGCTTTCCCCTCTTCTCACTGGTTGACTGGAGGATGCAGCCAAGCGTGCGGAGGCTGGCAAAACATCAGCCAACCAGTGCATAAATGGGCTCCGCTAGCAATATTGGCTCACGTTGGCTCACGACCTCATACTTTCTTCTTCTTGCCCTGGCCTTTCTCTTGCAGCAGTCCAGTCCCTCGACTCAATAACTCTGCGGGGGTTCGTGCAACCTCGATCAACTATTGATGACATTCTGGGGGGACATATCCCTTCCTTGCCCGCCGTCCTGGACCGTCCATCGAACATCCAACGCCGTCGGCAAGCCCCCTTTTTCCTCGATGCCATTGTTCCGCGGTCTAATCAAAAGACGCAACAATGGGAACAACGATGGACACTGCAAAAAAAAACAGATTAGGCGTGCATTAACCATCCGTCCGGGCGCTTAAGCCTAAGCCATGCTAGGTCAAGGACCACCCACTCGCCTACCCGCGAACCCTAGGTCTAAGGTCCGACGAGAGAGATGGAGGGTGACACTGGAATGGCAGGGTGGCTGGGTAGACCTGGCGCAGCCCGCTAGTTTCAACAGGATTCGCATGGGGTTTCATGCTCTGGCCGTCCTTTGTGGTCCACCGGGACGACGCTCTCCCACTACCACAGCCACCAAAAGTATTCCCCCCTCTCGTCTCGAAGCCGCCGGCCGTGCTCAGCCGCAATTTCTCCCTAGGTGAAGAAGGGAATCTGCGTGTCTCATTATCTCTCGACCAAGTTCTAACTAACTATCGCGGTCATTAGTGGCCATCTTTGTTTGCCTTCGGGGGATCAACGACTCAAGAATCATTCCCCCAGGGGTTTCCCATTGGCCGCGGTCGTCCAGCGAGAAAATCCCCATCCTGTCACTGCAACGCCCAGGCCAACCTCATGCGCCGTATTTCCCCTTTCGTATCCGGTTCTTCATGCTTGCGACCGACCATCCAACCCGGTCCCCATTCCTCCCAGCGCCCGGGAGACACGGTTTCGCCCACGCACCAAACGTCCTTCCTCTCGTATTACCCGGCACCGGCATCGTCAAAGTAACTGAGTGGGTATGACCCATACCCTCTTCCTGTCCGTGATCGGGTCCGAGACCTTCATCATGAGAGCTTCGAGGACCGGAAGGGGGGGGGGATGAAAGAAAAAAGAAAACACCACTGCTCACGACCCGCCGCCAGACCCCGTCATTGCATCGTAGCATTCCACCATCGACGGCTACCTGTCAAGTTGTGTCAGTCGCTCGATGGCGCCGCACCCGGACGCCGCTTCGCTGGCGCGCACTCTCGCTAATCGGGGTCGGGCGGGTGGTGCGCACCCATCTGGGATACTAAGGTACTCAGCACGTCAACTGGGGTTTGGCACCCCCGCCCGTAGGGCCGGGTGGGTCCCCATGTCCTTTTGCTCCACTTTGCTCCGGTGCGGGAGATCGGCCGGGCGGTCATGTTGTATCCACTTTTACTCCCGGAATCACTTCGCCCGCAAAATCTTCATCACCACGTTGGCATATTTCTTTTACAGCATACATGTGACGAGGGTTTTTACCGTCTAGATTCACCATGACAGTTCCCCATTCCCAATCTGTCACTGTGTTTGTTTGCCCAAGCCGGTGTTCAACGTCATCTCGGTTCTGGCGGTAAACTTTCTTACCTTGTTGGTAGCGAGACCAACAACCAACCAGGCCAAGCCGCGCTTGCTTTTAAGCACAACGAATCATCCACCTTGAAAATGACAATTGTGAATCCGCTGGCCACTGAGTAGTCACCGGAAAGATTGATATGAGAGTGAAGGAGAAACTACTCACTTAAAGGCTCCAAGCCGTCATTAGGAGTGTGATTCACAGTCAATATGTCAAGATGCCTGTCTCCTAGAGTCATCCAATCTGTTTCCGATACAGTGATTAACTCGCTTCATTTTTATCCCATCTCCGCAACATATTCACCGCAGTAACCCACGCCGCCAGCGCCGCAAGACCACAGGTAGAAAAAGCTTCCTTGAAAACCCATCTCCGATACCCCTTCCCAGCATGTATTTCATGGCACTACCCATCCCTCAGACCTCTTCCATTTCCAAAACTTCCCCCTACAATAGCATCCTCTCAAAGATGCAATTGCCAAAATGGTATCTCAAACCGCTGAGCAGATGCTTTCCTACCAACCGCCGCCGACCTACCGCGGCAAGGTCCCCAAGAAAAAGAGAAGTACCTGCCGACACTACCTAAAGGGCCGCTGCTATTATACAGCAGCAGAATGTAATTATGCGCATCGGGAAGAGGAATTATCTCCCAAGATAAGGGCATTGGTATCGGGATCGAATCTCTTTCGATCCAGTCCACTCGACAACAACGGCGCAGAGACCCACGCGTCTGAATACTTGGGATACTACATCCCCAACACCTCGCCCGACGGTACGAGGCAGAACTCCGGTAGCGGTCAACAGGAGTTCCACCCATTTCCGTCGCCCCCCAGACCCTCATCCCAAGCGCCACGGGACACCCAGCACCTCAACACCCAGCAGAACGGATACATGTATCCCGCTCACGGGGGCAACCTCGGCATGCCGCCGTTTCCTGTAGGCATGGGCGGGCATCCCTACCAACCCCCTGGCCCCTCCTATTTCCCCGTACCAGTTCAAGTCCCCCTTCACCAGCCCGTCCAGCCCGTCCAGCCCGTCCAGCCCATGACCCGCCGGGAAAGCAACACCATATGCTGGAACGGCGCCAGCTGCAGGAAGCCGGACTGCTGGTACCGGCACGACACCTCACAGTCCAACACGTCTAGCAGTAGCGGCAACGGTGAAGTAAGCGCAAGTCAAGAGTCTTCCGCGACTGGCAGCGAGGCGTCATCGCTAGCACAGGTGTCGACGTCCGCGGAGAACGAAATCATCGCTCATCCTCCCCCCGAGGAGCAGATTCCAGAGGACTTCGAGGAGGAAGCAAGGCAACGGCCCGCGGAGGAGGAGATTTGTGCGCAGCCCAGATGCGGGCCCTTGGTCGTCGACGGCAGGAGCGTCTGGGGAAAGACCAATGCAAGGACGTCCGCGGCCGCCTGATTTCTTCCTTGCGGTAACGCGTACAAAACGCTGCGGTACCTTGGACTAGACCGCTCCATGATTGGTAAAGGACACCATCACCACCACCACTACTACTACTATTACTGCTACTACAACTACCCACGCGGTAAGCATAGCATTTACGACATTACCTCGGTATGAGATCTAGATTATGGAGGGGAGTTTCTAACTGTTGCGATAATGCCGATTGGAAACGCAAGGGCCGGAAAAATGACGACGAGGAAAGTAGGCCCGATCAGGCGTCTGGAGATACCGTTACGACGTGGATTCCGAGCCAGGGCAATCATGGTCAAGATCTCGAGCCTGGGAGGCATAACTCCAAATGCGTAGGCCAAGTCTCCATTAACAGAATATAGCGACTCGGCGCTTCACATGATGCTGTAAGTCAGGTCGGTCTCGGGATAATTCTTTGACGCGCCATGCCCCCGGGCCCAAGTGTGATACCTATAACACACAAAAAAAAAAGAAGAAGAAGAAGAAGAAGAAGAAGAAGAAGAAAATGGCATATAACGAAAGGGGTAGCGAGCGTCTTCTTGATCTTGTTCCAATGTCGCAATAGTCCAGCTTAGAAAGAAGGCCAGCTGTTGGCCCAGACTCATGAGAATTGGGGACATGAATCAAAAGGGAGAGAGGTCATACAGAAGGGCTATTCAAATTGATACTTACTACGACCCTTCCACTGCGTCCGAAATTTCGGAACTGTAGACTGGGAGGGAAAAAAATGACTGAGGCGAGGTTCGCTGATGTTCAGGGGTATTCAAGGGGCACTCAAGGGGGTCGAAAGGAGGGTTGGTTGCACTGGGCGGCTTTCACAAGCGTGTCGGCCCTTTAAGAACTTAGGAACTTAGCCCTGGATAACCTAGCACGTCGTTCATAGATACAATGGGGGACATTGGGACGGTGTGGGTGTCTGCATCGACGGCGAATATTGGTCATGATAGAAACTCCCTTGAAGTAGATAGAACACAAAATGGTTTGATGCTGACCGAAAGCAATATGCCTTGATTTGAGTCTCGATGCCAACGCTCTGCATCCGACTTCATTCGCAAAGGGACGTCCTTGGAGCGTCCACTGGGTAATCTGTATTCTACAACGATCCTGATCTCATTCGATCCTTAGGTCTGTCCCCCCTACAGCGCCAGCAACGGCTGCTGCTCCTCCGCTCGCCGCTCATCTCCCCCGTGCGTCTCTCTTTGAGCCTCGTTTCCGCCGTCATCTGTGTCGTTGCGTCCTGAAGTCTCGTTTGTCTCTTCATTGTTTTGGATTTCCGTATTCTCGGGATTCGCGGCAGCCTCTACCGCGGCGGCAGCAGCAGCTCCCGCTTCTTCCCTTCTCTGACGCTCAGCGCGGGCTTCGGCCTCAAGGTGGGCAATGTGGCGCTCCGCAACACCTGGTGCAATACTAGCCAGAAATAGGAGACCAGCTCTCTCAAGCCGCCGCACTTGATCCATCAGCCAGTTCGCATTATTTTGTCTGTGCTGAGCTACCAGCCTGGCAGCTGCTCGGGTCGGATCAGGTTGGCCGTCTCGTCCAACAACCGCCTGATCGTCTCGGGGACGGACAGGCTCATTGGCGTTGTTCGGCGCGGCAAGGGGTAGCAGATTCTCCATATGACGTCTGACTGGTCCTACGGCCTGATCGAAGTAGTTATTTAGCAGTCCAGTGTTCAAAACAAAGATGCTAATGGCGATTGAAATAACTGTGATCCATCTCGACCAGCCCGCGTTGGGCGAAGTGAACCACCACACAAAGAGGGCGAGCCTAACCACCAGCCAGAAGTGCGGCCACACTTGCGCAATCAGCGGAGCGATGCCCGGGTTGTTATGGTGGGCTGGCACTGCTGCTGCGGGTGGCTGCCCCTGAGGCTGATGCAAGGGTTGCGCCTCTGGCTGCTGCTGCTGCGCCTGGTGTTGAGGTTCTGCGTGTTGTACGGGCTGCTGGTCTTCGTGATGAACCGGCGGGGTTACAAAAGCTCCCGGCCAGGCCACGTATTGAGGACGACCTCTCATTCTCCCGAGCGTAGAGGCGGTTTGGTGAAGAGTTGAGGTGTTGGGGTGCTGCGCTCTGGGAGTGTAGTACGAGTCGGTGGCATTGTTGATCAGTAGAGCACGGGGCCCTTGGGGAGAGGACAGGATGTACACCTCGGGGCCGGACTGCGCTTGCTGGTGAGCTGTCGAAGATTGTCTGCTGCCACCGCTGACGGAGCGAGCAGTGGGGTCGGGGGTAGGTCGCCTGCTGCTGGCTCTGGATCCAGGCGTTGGGTAGTAGGGAGTAGTGACGCCGACAGATGAGCCTCCATTCGCGAGAGATGTGCTCGAGGCGCTCCTTTGCATTGCGTTGGTTATAGCCAATGTTGCTTGGTTGCTATCAGCTGCCCTCAAGATGGTCTGGACGTCAGCAGAGGACAGAGGCGTCGTGGTACCCTGAACACCCGGCTGCTGAACGTTCACTTGACCCCCGAGGAAGGTCTCGTTGACCGTAACGCGATACGTCTGTCCGTTCGGCATTAGCCCTTCTCTCACATACGTGTGCCCTTCAGGATTGCTAAGCGGGCTGGCCCGTCCACGAGTGGGGTCCGCAGGATTGGGGGCCGGCGCTGGTGTGTCGCCGACGCCATGCATGCCCATCGATGCTCTCATGGCCTGGTTCTGGTTGATCTGCTGGTGGGCCATGGCCCTGTTCATGGCCTCGCGTTGAAGTCCATTCATCCATGCCGTCATGGTCTGGTGTTGTTGCGCCTGCATCTGCTGAAGCTGCTGCAGGGTCAAGTTCGCGGGTATTTGGGATGGTGTTGGGAACGGCAGAGGATTCGAAGTCGGGTGCAGCGGGGTTCGTCTGGTAAAAGCTGCGGCCGTAGGCTGATTACCATGGTGATGGCCTTGTAGGGGGTGGGCGGTCGTGCCAAAGGGGCTCGGGAAATGGGCAGTGGGCGGCGCCGGGCTCGACCCTCGAGGAAGCGCCGGTGTCGGCGTCGTAGAGCGATGCGGCTCAACGATGTCTCGAAGCACGAGGTGAATTGTCTGCTGGTCGATAGTGCGAATCTATTCACAGATCAGTCAGCAACTGGCATAATTGTCAGCAAAGCACGTGGACTCACGACTTCCTCGCCGATGACGGTCAGGAGGGTGTCCCCATCCTGCTGCAAAGGTCTTCCCCTATAGATCAATCGCTGCTGGGCGTCGGTCGGCTTGAGAGGGAGAGATTGTCTTATCCTCTCCTTGAGCTGTCGAATCGTCGTGGTGGCCGCGAGACCGGGGAAAACCAAGGGTCGGCTGGAACTGGCCGCCGTCGACGGCGACAAGACCTGCAGGTTTACGGACAGGTGTTCAGAAGTGGCCTCTGGCGCAGAGGGCGCGGTCGAAGAGGAGGCTTCAGAAGCCATTATGAGGCCTATCGATCATGCCACGCAGAGCGCGGCGCGGCAGCTTCGTCTAAAGATCCGCGGGAAGCGGGTGGTGGTGTATGCACAAGAAGACGATGCTCATGTCACAGTGTCGTTCATAGACGGGGAGATTTAGGACATGTGTTGCTCTCCGACTGCAGACTCCAGCTCAGGTACAGACCCGCTGGCCTCACTAAAAGTGTGGGTAAGGTACGTAGTGCGTCCCTGGGAACCGGAAGGCCCGATCCATGCACGTTGTCCCAATTGGGCGGGTGGTGACAGCCGGATTATATAAGCGGAAAGATTGGATGCATCTGAACCGCCTAGTGACACTAACTAAGGGCCTGATCGGCTCGATTTCAAAAAGCATTTAGAAAAGGGATTTAGGTACAAAATAGTATAAATAACGCTAGTCAAGGGTCAGCGTTAATCGCCTTTATACTTTATATTCGCTTATATAATAAAAAATAGTATAAAAATAAAAATTCCGTAACTTATTATAATTAACCTATAGGTTTTAAATTATTTTTATTATCGTAAAACCTTTTTTAATCGCTAATTATCGATTTTATTATTAAAATAATTTTTTTTAATAACGCTATTAATAATTTCTTTTTTAAAATAGAAATCGCTATTTAATTTATTAAAAATATAAAAGATTATTTATCGCCGTCGGTATTAAATATAAATTTTAATAATAATAATACTTTTAATAACGACGTAAAAATAAAAACCTAAATAACTTAGTTTTAAATAATATCGTAAAACCTTACTTAAATATTTAAATTAATTAAATTAAAAAGGAGGTTAAAAGTTTTTTAAAACCGTAATATTACGGCCAGCTAGTCGTAATAAAGTTTATATTAACAAAAGTCGGGGCTACGATATTCATAAATAATAATCGTTATAAAAATAGCTTTAGTAAAGCTATTATCTATAAATCGTAAAATAAATAAAACTTCGGTAATTAATTATAATCTTATTAAATAAGTTTTTAATAAAAATAATTAAAAACGATTATTAGATTTAATATAAAAATTAATTATTAAAAAAGCTATAGAAATTTATCTTTAAGCTTAGTTTAGGCTATCTTATATATAAATCTTAATTATAAATATATCTTTTATAATATTTTATTTATTATTATTTAACGGTTTATTAAACGGTCGTTTATTTTATATTTTTATAATTATTTATTTTATTTATTTATAAACGTCCGTTCTTTATTTTATTATAAAATCGTAATTACGTAACTTATTTATAATTCTTTTATTTTAAAGGGAGCTATTTAAGTTTTTATTATTATATATATAATATAATAGCCGCCGTAAATCTTATAAAATAAAGCTTTAATTTAATAATATATATTAAATCGTAATATTAATTCTTTTTTTTAAAAATCTAATCTTTAAGCTTATAAATAAGTCGTTTATTTTTAAATTAAGGAATTGTTAAGTATTTTTATTAAAATATATTAACGCTATATTAAATCAAATTAAAAAATCGAAATTATAAATAGCTACGTTTTATTATCGTTTATTATATATTATTCGTTTTTTTAATAAAAATATAAAAATAATACCGTATTTAAATTATCGTTTTTAAAACGTTCGTTATTTAATTTTTTTAATTTTAATATTTACGAGATATATTATCGTTTAAATATTTCGTACGATATTTTTATTAATATTATTTATATTTATAAGTTTTTTATAAATAGTTTTTTATAGGTCCGATTAATAAATATAATAAATCGTTTAATAGTAAAATTTAATTATTTTAATTATAAAAAGTAAATAGAGGAGTTACGGTTTTAAAAAAGAGTTATAAAATTATAAAAAAAAGCTAAGGCTTATTAAAAAGCTTAAACTAAATTAAAACGCTTTCGTTTTTAAAAGCGAATAGTATTTAAAAAAAGTCGTATCGTATTAAATTTTTTTTTTAAAAATATTAAAAATATTTTTTTAGCGGCCCGGGAGGCGTAAGTTAATAATATTTTTAACGTTATTAATTAAAACGCCGTAATAATTAAGAGTTTTAAATTTAAATTTAATTTTAATACTTTTTAAGAAATTATTAAAAGTTTTAAAAGTTTATAATAAGTTTTTATATATTATTTTTATATTTATAATTTTTCTATTTAATAAAATACTTTTTACGTCTTTTTTTAATTTAGTAGTTAATAATTTATTTAATTTTATATTTTAATTTATTAAGTTTAACGATAATACGATTTTTAGTATATAAGCCCTTAAGTATTAATTTTAAAAATAAAATATAAAAAACTAAATAATATCGTATCGTATTTAAAAGTTTTAATTTAAAATTAATTAATAAAACTTTTTTAATAATTTTAAAAAGTTTAAGTTTTTTATAATTTAATTTATTACTTAGTCGTTTTATTTTAATATTATAGTAAAGGAAATATATACTATTTCCTTTTTTTAAAATTAATTTATTAATTTTTAATTTATTAGCGTATTTTTTTATCTATTATTATATAAATTTAAAATTTAAAAAAGTTTTTTTTTAAATCTTTTTAAATTTATTTATATTTATTACGGCTTTTATAACTTATAATTTTTTATATATTTCTTTATATATAGTTAATTAAAATCTATAATTAAAATAAAACAGAGATTTTTTTATATTTTTACTAATTATATTATTATATATAAACTAGGTTATTAATAATAATATTACTTAATTATTTTAATTATAATTTATATAGTAACGGAGGTATATTTTAAAAATTTAATTAATTTTTTTTATTTATTTATTAGTTTATAAATAAAAAGAAATCGATAATTTATAATTTATACCGAGTTATAAAATTAAAAATTTTTAAAACTTAATAATAAATAGCTTATTTTTATTAAAACCTATTTTTTTAAATAAACCGTAATTAATAATAATTATTTTAAAAAAAGTATATATTAATTCCTTAATATTATTTACTTTTTTATATAATATAAAATAAATAAACTTAATAAATCGGTCGATAATAATTAAAATATTATCGTATTATATATTTATAAGTAGTTTTTTAAACTTTAATAATTTAATAATAAAATCTTAAGAGATTAAATATTATATTTTTAATAATATTAGTAAAAGTTATAGCTTTTTATAAGGCTTATAAAGGCTATTTTTATTTTTTTTATAAATATCGTAGTTTTTAATAACTTTAATTATTTTTATTTTTATAACGGTTTTATTATAATATTAACGAATCCGTTTTTATATTTTTATAATATTTTAGTAACTATATATTTAAGTATTATAAATTTTTATAATAAGCTTAGGAATTTATTTTCTAAACGGGCTAATATTAACTTTTTTAACTATTATAAAGAGTTTTATAATAAGTATAAAATTACCGTTATTATTATATTTAAAGATTATTTATATTTCCTTAAGGATTATAATTTTATAATTAAATCGTTTATTAAAAGCGTCTATTTTACCGTTTTCTAAACCTTTTTAATAAATAATTTAAAAATTAAATTTTAATAAGAATTTATTTTATTTAATTTATTATTTATTTAAACTTTTATTTATTATAAAATTCGTAAGGTTTTTATAATTTATATAAATAATAATTTCGTATTTAGTTTTTAAAAGCTAAAGTTTTTATTTTTTAAAAGCTTCGATTATAATTATTAATTTTTTATCATAAATTTATTAATTTAATTCTATTTTATAAAACGTTTTAAAATAAAATATATAAAAATAAAATACTTTTTATTAATTTTATTATTTTAAAATAGTTTTTATAATAAAATCCGAAGTATCGATCTTAATTTTAAACGGCTTTTTTAAGTCTAGAATTATAATTACTAATTCCGAAATAACTAAATCCTTAACTTTATTAAAAGCTTCTTTATATTTTTTATCTTAAATAAAAATTATATTTTTCCTTATTAAATTATTAAAAAGTTTAATAATATTAGCGTAGTTTTTAAAAAATCGCCGGTAAAAGTTAATAAATCTTAAGAATAATTATACGTTTTTAATATTAATAAATATAGGCTAGTCTTTAATTATTATTACCTTAAATACTTATATATAAATCTATTTTAATATAATTATATAACTAAAAAAATCTATTTTTTATATATAAAATTTATATTTATTAAATTTAATAAAAAGCTTTACGTTTTAAAATTTTTAAAATACTATATAAACGTGTTTTTTATATATTTTAAAGTTAAAAAAGAAAATAAAAATATTATTAAAATAAATAATTATAAAAATATTAATATATTTCTTAAATACGTAATTAATTATTATTTAAAATATAGCGGGTGCGTTAATAAGTCTAAAAGGTATAATTAGGTATTTATAAAGTCTTTTATAAATTTAAAATACCGTTTTTTATTTGTTTCTTTTTTTAATTTTAATTTAATTAAATACTTTTTTAAAGTCTATTATAGTAAATTATTAGGCTCTATATAATATTTCCCTAAGTTTTATAATAAAAAGTAATAAATAATAATTTTTTTAATAATTTTATTAAGTCTTTTATAATTAATTATAGGTCTAAATTTCTTTTTATTTTTTTTAAATATAAAAAAGATTAATACTTTTATTAAAGAAGATAATAATTTAATATAACTTTTTTTAAATTTATTATTAATATATTTATTAAATTTATTACGTTCGAGTTAATTTATAAAATATAATAAATAAAACTTAAGTTACATTCCTTTTTTTAATTCGATCTTTATATCTTAACTATTATATTTTAATAATCCTATTTTTTCCTTTAAAGCGAACAGTTTTATATAAATCTAATACTTTTTAAATATAATTTAGAATAGGTCCGATTTTTAATTGTTTATACTAAATATAAATATTTTAATAAGTTTTATTATTTTAATAAAAGCGATATATTTAATTTATTTTCGTTTATTAAGTATTATATAAGACTTGTTTAAACCTTTTTCTTTAAATCGTTTAGTAATTAAATTTATTTAATAAAGTTAACTAATTCTCTA